GCAAGCAAAACTGACAGAAGCATGATTTAAAAATACCACATGTCACTGTCAAATGCTGTGGCATTAAAGACTGAAATATCCATCCATCCATTGTCTACACTGCTTATCCCGAAAAGGGCTGTTGGGGGCTGGAGCCAATCCCAGCGGACACTGTGCGAGAGGTGGGGTCCACCCTGGACAGAGAGAACCCACGCAGGCACATGAAGACACACAGTACCCACACAGAAAGGCACCGGGTTGGCCTGGGCTCAAACGCAGAACCTTCTTAACCTTCTTGCTGTGAGGCGACAGTGCTACCCACTGCGCCGCCAAAGACTGAACGATCTAACAACTATTTGATGTGTCAGGAATATGTTCATGGTGCCCAGAGGATGAAACCCAGTCACTTCTAAGTTAAAACAAAACATCTAGAAAGCAGCTTTTGTGGCACTGAAACGAGGTTTCACAGCAGCTTTCAGGGGAGCAAAATAAGTATTCAGAGCCTCACCTTTCAAGTCTCCCTGAGGCTTCATCACAGCTAGTGATGAATACTTCATGTTTCCACGTGTTAGCAGCTTCATCTCGGCATGTCAGTTTTAAATAGCAACAGTTCACACTGATGTGAAGAGCCTCTCACACTTTGGGTGCTGCATCTCATGTTTGCATACAAATGAGAGCAGCAGCAGCTCAGACACCCAGAGGATCCAAACTAAAGCCTCCACTCTGAAGCTGTATTCACACAGTACAGTACACAGCACAAACAGATCAAACAGGAGAGACATTCACTTTGTCATTTAGCTGTAAATGAAATAACAGCTGTCCAAACTGTAGAGGATCCGATGGCTGAACTCTAACAGAGAGAGCTACCACGTCATGTGCCACTGGGTTTATCAGACATAAAGACAGAAATTGAATATTCTGTTCCCTCTGTCATGAGAGGTTTGATTTAGATTTTGTCTGTAACCTGGACCACCTGTCAAGTCAGGAACTGCTTTTCTCAACCATGATGCTTTTGTGTCAAACCACTCCTTCTTTATTTCTGTCACCACACAGCTCTGCTCTGCTGACACAACGTTGACACAACGCTGGCAGCTGTATTAATATTTTTACATACCACTGCAGCAGGACTCTGCTCTCATAGAGTGAACCATGCCACAAATGGAACAGAACCAGTTGCAGTTGTTTATGCTGATGATCAGATCACTCCTTCATGAACAGATGCTGTTCATCAGGCTGAAATTGGCAATCAATGACAAGCATGTTCAGCCGGGAGGGGTTTGTAAATCTGACATGGAAACCTCACACAAACAAGCATCTGAGGTTTAGTGGTGGAAGAAGTACTCAGATTCTTTACTTGGGTAAAAGTAGCAGTGTGAAAATACTTTGTGAAAGTACTGCTCAAGTAAAAGTACAAGGTATTTGCATTAAAGCTAGTGGTTAAGGTGCAGCGCTCTCGCTGCTGCGGCCCGGGTTCGAATCAGGGTTGCGTCAGGAAGGGCATCCGGCGTAAAACACATGCCAAATGTCAACATGCGAGTCGTCAGTGTGACGATTTGCTGTGGCGACCCCTAAACAGGAAAAGCAGAAAGTGACTTTCTATTTGCATCAAAACAAAGTTCATTCTGCAGAACGGCCCGTGTCCCAGTAATGTCTCTGATACTGGATCATAGTGACTAATTACTGTGTTCATCACTTTAATGCTGCAGCTGGTAAAGGTGGAGCTGATGGTAACTACCTTACATACTTATACTGTGAAGTACTTTACATCCTACTGGGTAGCTGGTGGATTTCCCACCAGGATCAATAGCGTATGATGGTTCTACTGGGTTTGGTTCGATTAATCTGATTCTGGTAAGGACCTGAAGTTATCAGGTCCATGTAGTACAGTAAAAAGTACACGGTTTATCTCTGAAACGGAGTGAAGTCACAGGATGAAGGAGGAGGACATGGAAATACTGAAGTACAGTACAGATACCTCAAAATTGTACTTAAGTACAATACTTGAGTAAATACTTAGTTACACTGAGTATAAGAATACAGTTTGTATGTATGGCCCAGTGTCTGCAGCAGCTTATTGTGTTGAACCACCAGTGGATTTCAGTATTTTTACACCTAAATTACAGACACACACGTTTTACTGCTCCCCTCTCAGGGTAAAAGTACTGTTGACTACATAATCCCAAACATGGCTGAACAGAACTGCTGCAGCTGCAGTCTGCTGGCCTGATGGACCTGGCTAATGCAGGAATGGGTTCAGAATAGAATCAATTTTACTCTGAAAGTGTCTGAATGAAGCTATGCTTTGGGGGTAGCTGTGGATGGCGTCTCAGCTCGCTGTGGCCTGTGTGATAGTGATAATGGCAGTGGGATCTTAAATGTTTTTATCTCTGTCCTTCGGCCTGCAGCCTCTGAGCTCAGCCTGTTCAAGTCCTAAACTCTGCCTGCTCCTGGTTCTTCAGTGGAGATAAAACCTACACTCCAGGACATTTCTGTAGTGTATACAGTATTTTACTACACTGCTGCTTCAGCAGCAAAGTTACACTTTATTTTACAGGCGCATCATTTTTTCATAAACCAGTGTGATGTTTCCTGGAGAGAACATTTATCAGAAAAAGTTCCATTCTAGTCCAAGTAAATATCCATGCATTATGCATTTGTTGCTGTAAACTTTGTTCTCCACCGTGGCCTGCCCAGCGGCCTCTGTGAATAATGCCAGAAATGAATGGGGATTAATTAACTGGAGGTGTAACAGCTCCAACAAACACTGTCTGCATGTCCAAATGGCACAGTGCAAACATTTGTGGAACTATTACGTGTAAACTGGGTGCCAATGTACAACGCATTTATTAAATGTTTATATACTACTTACAAACACTAATAGTGGGTTTTAGGTAAAGTGTTACAGGCAGAACAGCACAGATGTTTTTCTGTTCAATTTGCAAGAAGCCGCAGAAACACGATGATTCACTTACCTGCTTGGTTTTGTGTGAATGTCTCCCAGTTAAATTCAGACTCGGTGTAGCCACACCTTCAGTGTCAAGATACATCTCCATTCTTTTATCGCGTTGCTGCAGTAATCTCTCTAGCTCCACTTCCAAATGTCTCTGCTGTCTAAACAGTCGAGGTCAGACTGACACACGGGATTATGTTCAGCTGTGACTCTGGTTTATTTCTCCCTTGAAATTTCCTGTGACAGTCAGCGAGGGAGTCGCTCCAACCTTTTGGCCAAATGGTAAAAAAAGATCCGGTCCAGTGCCAATTAAGTTGGAGCAGCAGTCTGAGGTTTAGCTCCACTCTGACGTCTCCTGTACTTTATTTCATTTCAGAGGCATAACGTTCATCCTCAGAAGCACTGTCCTTGTTTATCTGTCCCAGGGGCAAGGCTGCAGGGACGGCATCACAAAGCTGTCAGTGAGGACGAAGCAGAGAGTTTAATGATGTGACGAGGGGGAGAAAACTGCGACCTTTATCACTGAACCCTGCAGGGAAATCAGCTGATTGCAGCAGCAGAGAAAAGAAAAGAGGACATTAGTAACATCGGTCTGTGTCATGCCATTCTCACCAAGATTAAGATTTTGCCAAGTAGATCTTTGTTCAGGTTTTTGGTACCAGGTTTTCAGCTTGACTGTTCTTGTAAAGATACTAGGTTAGATCAGTATGTTTTGGAAAGCCAAGACATCATTGTTCTCTGTACTTGCCTGCCTCGTTCCAAGTTCAACATTAGTTACTGAAACAGGCAGCTACACTTCCAGCTTGGTTCCTTCTGGGTCAAGTCCTTTTCCTCGAAGGATGACAAAACCTCCTGCTTTGTTTCACTGATCCTGTGGTGACATGTCACAGCAGCAGAGAAAAGATAAAAACAAGACAAACTGAGGAAATAAAACATCACAGCAGAGGTATAAAGAAAATAACCAGTAATGTAAAGCAACTCTGGTTTACAGATGGAAGCAGATGTGTGAATGCATTCACGGCCAGATGGTCACACTGCTGAGCAAACAGCAGCGTTCAACCTGCTGCTAATGTAAAGGAGGCATTTTCTAAACTCTATTATCATTGCTCCCAGTGTTATCTGTAAGTTGGTGCACTACATGGGTCCAGACTGAAATATCTCAACAGCTATTAGGTTTTGTACAGATGCTAGTTCACTGGCAGTGGCTCCTCATCACTCTGATCCCCTAACTTCATGTAACACAGACTGGTTAAGGTTTTTAAATTTGGGTTGAGGTATTTCAGTGGGTTTAGAGATTTGATGGATGATTTTCTAATATTCCCTGAGCACTTATTTCACAGCAACTGCCAAAGATCAAAAACAAATGTTGTTTTTGGTCTGTATGCACACGTACCTGTCAGCTCTGTACATCACACACTGTGAAAAACAAGCTCTGATTGGTTGGTGGTTCTCTGTCATGCCTCATCAAGGATCTGTCAGTCTATAACCCACAAGTCTGTTTCTGTCTTTGGAGACAGTAACGATGACATTCTGTCTACAGCCCATCTCTCCTTCAGCCTTTACATATTCAGCTGGTTGGTGAGTCACATCTTCACCCAGACAGTTGTGTTGGATGGCTACCTCTATTTTAAATGATGACTCCCACCCTTTGCATAGTGACTTTGAACTTTTTCCTTCTGGACAGAGGTTTCTGGTCCCAAGGTGCAGAACAGAGCGGTACAAAAACAGTTTTGTTCCTGCGGCTAAAACTGAGCCGAGCAGGCTGTGGTCATATCTGCACATGCTTTGTTGAAGCAACTATTATCTTGGTCCTAAACTTGTTTATATTCCAGAACTTGACTGAGTGATTTCTATGTATTGATAGCTTTCTTTTTTATGCTTGAATTGGTGGAGCCTTGTGTATTTGCATTTTTACCATTTACTTTTAGTGTTTTAATTTGTTTTTAGAGTTCTTATTGTGTTGTTTCATGTCACCTTTGTAATTGTGTGTCAAAATGGACACCTCCATCTTGCTCCATCTTGCTGCAAAACAAATTTACCTACCAATAAAGTACCTGAACCTCTCTCTCAGGTCGGGTGTGCATCGCTCAGTCTCTGAAGGTTCCTCGGGAGCCAAGACCTGGTGAGTTTGACAAGATCATCCTCCGTCTACTGGAGACACCTAACGCCCGCGCTGTCGTCATGTTCGCCAACGAGGACGACATCCGGTACAAATGCACACCGACACAAGTTTGATTTTCTGAGGATGAGAGGTGGATTGGTACAGCATGTTTTAAAGCACTGTTGTGGCCTCATCATTAGCTTTGGGTAGTTAGTTTAGACTTATTCTGTCACGGGGAGCACAACACAGGCTTCAGGGTTTATATAATGCTTCTATCATCCCGAGACACTGAAGTACAGTAATATAAAGAGAAATGGTCATACTCTAGAGTGTGTGAGACTGTCTGTAGATCATACTGAAGTTTTTGCCAATTACCCATGTTCATGTTCACTGATGTTTTTAAATTCCACTTTAAGTATTCTAATGTCTAAACACAAACAATCCTCATGAATTATTAAGAAAATAAACAACTGATCTTGTTCTGAAGGACAGCAAAAACAGTTTCCCACAGTTAGCTGGGTACAGCCCTAGTATTTTATAATATCTGAGTTAAGGTGGAAAACCAGTAGATAATGTGGAAATACTCTAGTGAAGTACATTACACTCGAGCAAATGTACTTGCTTACTTGCTAACAATGTCTTTCTCAATCAAAATGACAGTTTGTCCACTTCTTCGATCAGTTTATGGCCAAATGCCTCCAAACTAGTGACATCAGTTCCAGCTGTGATTAGTGCTAATTAGCAAATGCTAACACAATAAACTAAACATCATGTTCTGCTGTGCACCTCTTGTTGGCGACTGATTCTCTGCTGTCTCACTTGTGACCCTGACAGGCGCATCCTCGATGCGGCGAAACGTAACAACCTGACGGGTCACTTCCTGTGGGTGGGCTCTGACAGCTGGGGCTCTAAGATCGCGCCGGTGGTCCAGCAGGAACAGGTGGCTGAGGGTGCTGTCACCATTCTCCCCAAGAGAGCATCTGTGGATGGTGAGGCAGAAGACCGCTCATATTCTTGGAGACATTGTGATGGAGATCATCACTGTAAAAACCTTGTTTTGTTTGTTTTTGCAGCATTTGACCGTTACTTCAAGAGCCGCTCTCTGTCCAACAACCGCAGGAACGTCTGGTTCGCCGAGTTCTGGGAGGAAAACTTCGGCTGTAAGCTGGGGATGCACGGCAAGAGGCCCGGCAGCCCCAAGAAATGTACAGGTAGAAATCACAGATGTTCCACAGCCTCCACCTCCTCTCCTTACCTGTTTTTGCTTCTGCAGGCCAGCTGTGCCTTAGAGAACCTGTTTCTTTAGTGTAAAATAAATTGACTTTATGAGCAGAGTCACAGCTGGAAATCTGATGTGCTCCTCTGCTTTCACTTTGCTCTCACCCTGTAGCCAAAAGCTCCAAAACTACAAAGCGTGATTGGACCTTTGCTCCTGAATGAGCTGTTGTGAGGAGGCTCAGAGGGTAGGAACAAGAAGGAAACGTGGTTTCTTTATGTGCTGCAGAAACGGCATGCGGTTTACACGCAGGCCTCACAGTGCAAGACGTACACAGAGCCTTGAGCTAGATAACTAGCAGTACACCTGTTTAAAAATACCCCTACCTTCAAAACTTTATGTAGGTAAGTTAGAGTATTATCAGTCAGAAGTACTTAACATAGCAAAGGTAAAGTGTTAATATAAGGGAGCAGTGAGTATAATATCTCTGTAGTGGAGTAGATGTAAAACCTGGTATGAAGTAGTGAAGTACAAGTAGCTCAGAATTCTACTCCAGTACTTGAGTAATTATACCTAGTTGCGTCCCACCAGTGAGTAAATGTAATAATACTCCTCTAGAAGTAAGTGACCTGTGTTAAAAACAATCCTACAAAGTATCAGAAGTAGAAGTAGTCATTCTGCAGACAGATAACTAATATACTGATACTGTACTGATTGTTTACACAGATGATCAGTGTTTGAGCTTGTTTTAAACACTTAGGTGGTTCCCAAGCTAGGGGTTGGGCCCCTCCAAAGGGTCATTCAATAGATCTGAGGGGTTGTGTCACATCTGTTTTCAGGTTTTGGCTTCTTTTTTTGTGAATTACTGGTTCATTTTACTTTTTGTCGCCTGAACAGTTATTTAAGCAAAACTATCTGAGAAGATTAGAGAGGAAACCTTTTCTTGTGACAACACTTTAAGAAAGTGTCACAAACAAAAGACGTGAACTTCTGGTTTAATCTTTAACAGCTTCTGTTTTATAAATTTGTCATTTGCTTATTAGTAAAAGTAACTAGTAGAAGTATAAACTATAACAGAAACACATAAGTCTGAACTGTTTTTGCCATCTGGGCTCATTTGCCTCCTTTGGTGTGGAAGGAAAATGTGCCAAAATCCAGACCGTCGTGTGTTGTGCTCACTGTTCCAGCAAAGAGGTTTTACTGAGAACAATTACGTGGTTGCAGCACCTGATCCACTTTCCTCCCCCAATCTTCTCTCTGTTGGACAAGTAGGAGCTGCTAAGAGATTCATCTGTCAGTCTGATTAAATCAATGTCTGTCTTTTATTCTTCAGGGACAGAAAAATGAGGTTGTGACAGCTTGACGAAAGACACCTGAACATTTAACGTCAAGTCCTGTGATACTGTAGGTGAGAAAGAGAAGCTGCTAGACGCTCTGCTTGGTGTTTGTGTGACTTTGTTTTTACAAAGTGGTGGTGACCTGTGTGTGAAGCTAGGTGCAAACTTTAGATCATTTAGAACCCTCCAGTAACACAGAGGTGACCCTCAGAGAAGGAATCATGTGTGGACATAGCTATTTATGAGCTAAGACAAATGGAAATCATGTGCGCACAGTGGAATGTGCATACTTTGTTTGTGTCTCACCCGGTTGGCAAATGTTTTATTACTGAACAAAATAAACTGATGGATCTGTTTGATAAAAACGCCAGTTTCCTTCTGTTATGATGCAGGTCTACTACGCCTGTTGTGTTTGGAGACGGTTTAGTTACAGTTTCATGTGCTTTTGTCTTGTCATGGGGAAAAAAGTCATTTTCAGTCATATTTCATCTCAGTTATCTCTCCTGTATCACAGTTTGAATTACGAGCTTATCTCCCACCATCAGTGTCGGGCCTCAGTGTTTCTGCAGCCGGGGGTCCAAAATCTGGTGGAAAGCCTGAAACCAGAAGAGTGGAGGCCATAATAGCACATGAATAAACAGTTTTAGGCTGACATGTAGACGTATTCAGAGCCTGATGTGAGCAGGTGGAGCACTGCCAATGAAAGGAGCCCAGTAACAGATGTGAATGCGATTCCTGGATCAGCCTCATTTACTAGAGTGGAAATCCACAGAACCTGAGAGAGTGCTGGTGTGCTATTTCATCACACTTGTCTAAGACCTGGTCCAGGCTGCAGGGCTAATGCTCTGCTGTCTCTCTGGACCGCTCTGGCACTTGACCTCTCTTCCATTTATATTCATGAGCTGGATTTGTGACCACTGCTGCCTGCCAATAAACATGCTGGATAATTATTTTGGGGCCTGAGTACTTGACAGCCTTGGTCAGTAATTAATCCGCTATTTATTCAGTCATGTTCAGTGAATGAATATCAATGACTGTAATTACTGTAAGATAAAGGGTGTGTTACAGTCAGCTGGAAGAGAAGATTTTGGACAATGAGTCCGCCTACAGGGCGAAGGTTCAGCATCTGACAGAATGGTGTTTTCCCAATAACCTAGATTTAAACACTATAGAAACCAAGAAAGTGATAGTGAACTTTAGACAGTCAAAGTGCACTCTGTATATCCAGGAAGGGTAGAGAGCACATCTCAGCTGACCTCACCTGGACCACACACATCTCAGGCGGGACAGGCCCAAAGCTTTACTTCCTCAGGATGTTAAAGCTCACTCACTTCCCTCATCACCTGCTGATTAACTTCTACCAGTCAGCAATAGAGAGCCTGCTGACCTGCTGTGACACCGTGTGCAGAGAAGGAGCCTCCGTGGGCCCGGGGCCTTCGCAAACGTATCTGACATGTGAAACTATTTGTGCAAGGTATTGGTTAAATACAAGTGAACAATCAGAACCTCAGCATCAGAAATTAGCTGCTGTGTCCCAGCTGCTGCTCCGATAGTGCTGCCAGTCTTTACCTAGACCCGGTGGATGGCTGCCATCAGAACACAGCTCCCCATTTATTTTGTTGGAGGCTCCAGACTGAGTTTTGGAGTCATCACACAGATAAACAGCTGAGCCAGCAGCTGTAAGCTTCCACCTGTGTGTGTCTGTAGCATTGTCTTTCAGAGCTGTAAAGCGCAGGGAGCTCCGGGTGCTGACAGGCTCTGTCATATGTGTTCACTTTAGTTAGTTTTTCGTGCATCACATTTGTTTTGATACAAATAAATGTTATAAAGATGCAACTGTGTGTTTGTTACCTTCCAGGGTGGAGCTCAGGAAAACATATTAAACACTACCAACATTTAAAAGAACAAATACATTCCATGGGGAGCCAAAATCTAAAGCCTCTCTGTAGGCTGGTGTCAGTTGTGTCCGCAGCTGTGTTGCTTCAAACGCTCCGACAGAGAAGCAGCAGCAGCTGCAGGTGCATTTCACCTGACACGCTGTGTACGATCCCTCCAGAGGTCACCGGGGAAGACCTGCTCATTAACTGTAATTAATTAGCATGATTAAATATCCATGAGCTGGGCAATGTTCCATCAGCCACCCCTCAGGGAAAACACCACCGCCACTTTCCCAGCGCCTTGTTTCCCACAACAGCTCCTCCAAGATGAACAATCATACAGGTCGCTTGTCCGTACCCTTGGACACAGGGTTGGAATTACACTGCAGCTTTTGAGAGGAACTCATTTCCTCCAGTTTTACAGGCAATAGATCTGTCACAAAAACCTGTCAGAACCGTGATTGATTCAGAAGCAGAGGGAGAGACGTTGGCAAACTATCACTGCCTCTAATGTTTGAGATTTGTTTTATAATTCGTTTGCCAGTGCCTGGAAAAATCACTAGGGTGCTGGTAAGATGAGAGAGGCTGTATGCGCTGCCAGGAGGTGGTCTCCAGCCGGTCACTGAGAATCACTGATCTGACACCAAATCAATGCACAGTAATTACACATAGAAGCACTAAATAATATATGGAAGCAGCTCAGGAGCCATGATGGATGAAAAATACCCTGCACATGTTCTGATCAGCCATGTTACAGGCATTACTGACAGCTTATAGACATGGACTGGGCCCCTGGACCTGTGCCTGGCGGGGCATTTTAATACCATTACACATTATTAAATCATGGTTTTAATGCCATTTTGTCAATTTTAAGTGTTTTCTTTAACTCCTTAAAAAGTCCTTAACTATGCAGTTAGTGTATTTAACTGCATTTTGATGTATCCCAAGGCATTGATTTGTTCCACTGGAACTCACACTGAATTCAGAGGTCACAGAAAATCAGCCAAATCATCTGTATCAGTCTGAAAACCTCTGTCTCAGATCCTTTTACAGTCGTGCTCCTGCTCCGCTCTGAAGGTCGAGTTCTGAACCTCTGTGGCTCAGTTGTCCCCGATCTCACCCCCCTCCAGATGATGGATTCTCTGTCAGCCTTTCATTGATTGAGATCTAAAATTAGTGTTCGCTTTGTCTGTGTGAGAGCAGCAGTGACAGACAGAGAAGCCTGTTTGGATAATGGAGACGTGTTTGTTGTCTGAACACCCGATTTACATGTAGAGATCTTGATGACAGCGTGTCTTAGATGGAGCTGGTTCTGTTTCCTCTCATGTTCCCAGTGCAGCACGAACTGAACATTAAGAGTCGTGGAGGAGCTTTTATTCAGGGGAACTCTTCCACCTGGGGACTGCAGGTTCACCAGCAAACATGAAGATTTGCTTTTGTTCTTCTTGGTTTAACAACATGTCTGCTGAGTTCTCATCTTTTGCACTATAGTTCCTTCTGTGTGTTTTGCTGATCTTAACTGAGTGGATATGCAAAGCCAGATGTGCATTTGCACTCCTCTTTGTGTTTTCTGTTGGTATATGTTTTCTCCCTTTGTGCTCCAGTTAGTTTGGTTAGGAACTTCAAAATGTTTTTGTATGTGTGTTTAAAGGATCTGCATTGACTTTGGATTTGAGATGTGTTGGTCTTGACTTGGATTTGGGATTTATCTGTCTTGGCTTATTGGTCTTGACTAAACACTTCGCTCCGTACTTGTCCTGATTTGTTGGTCTTGGTTTGAGACTTGAAACTGTACTTCCTAAAGAAGGCCTGAAAGTCACTGGTGACTTGCAAAACAACAAATTTCTCTGTATTTTTAAATAAAACAAAACTTATATGAAGGTCAGATGTGACAGTCTGAGCAATAAACTTTAAATGTCACAGACGTGTAATGTTGTTTGTTCTCGTTTTATGCAAATCACTTTCTGAACTTAAAGATAAGCACAAAATAGTTTTCGGTGCTGGCATGAATGCAGGATGAATTCCTGAGTGTTTGAACAGCCCTTAGATGTTTTTGTTCTGTCAGTCAGAATCAGTGACGTGAAGAAACATTGTTATTAATCCTCTGCTGATGAATCTGACACTGTCACTTATAAACAACAGAGCCAGTACAAAAGACTATTAATGTAAATATATATGGGTGTTAGATGATGCAGCTAGGCAGGTCTCCCTGAAACTCATCCCTTCACTGGTAAGCTCTCTAATTAGTTTGCTGTTTATCTAATTGAAGCCTAACGGTGTCTGTGAGAGAGAGAGGAGAAGAGAAACAAGCTCATCCTGTTGGGCAAGAATTAGACTTAACCTGCCAGTGATGTGTAATTGAAATGCCAGCAGCTGTGATGAAGCAGTCTGTTGAGCACGCCGCCTCACCTCAGTCAGTGTTCGGCTTTCATTATCATCATCATCATCCTTGTTGTTGAGCTTCGAGGCTCATTAGCAGGCAGGGAGGTGAAGGAGGCTGGGGCTGGTCACCACTGTCCAAGCCTGAAGCTCACGTTCACCTCCTTCTCACAAATCAGACATTATTAATGATGTTTCTTGGGATGCTAGGTAGTTTATAAGGTTTTCGTTTCACTTGATATCATCTTTACAGCGAGTGAAACAATGTTGCTGTGTTGTTTTCTTTTCATCCTGCAAATCATCGGTGTCAGTCAACATCAATCTGGTCTAGAGCAAAACAAGTTTCTGATAAATCTCCAGGAAAAAATCACGGTCCTGAGGATTTTGATGTTCATAGTCCCATGACTTCTACTTTAGAGCTGTTCTCAGGCCAAATGATTGGGATATCTTAAAGCTGCACTACCATGGATTTGATTGTGATTAGTTTTTGTCAGTAGCGTGCAGTTATACACTTCTGATGAAAACTGAACACGTAGCACTGACATATGATCACATTTTAAGTTCATACGTTGAACCTGTTACTGAACTCCCAGCTGTTGCAGAGCAACATGCTCCTTCATGCACAGTGGGGTCTGTGTGTCCACATGTTGACGTGTCCTTGGGCAAGACACTGAACCCCCCCGTTGCCCCCGATGGTTAGAGCCATTGGTTGAGTTGGCGCCGCAGATGGCTGCCATTGGTTCTGTACCGGAAACAAATTCCTTGTGTGTAACATACTTGGCCAATAAAGGTGATTATCCTTATAAATCTCAGTTCACTGTTCCCTCTCTGTTCACTCTGACTTTGGTCTCCGCCACCTCCTGAGGGAAACCTCTGGCTGGTAAATGCTCCACTGTGTTCCCCAGCTGGTCTCTCACTGTGTCTGTCTGCTGCTGAGCAAGTCGTGGACACCGGAATCGTCTGTCCTGCTGCAGTCTAAAACCAACAGTAGGAGAGTGAACCAGGACAGTAAAGCTGTGGCCCTGACACTAAACATGGAGAAACCGCTGTGAAGCTCTGTAAAGCTGAAGGAGCTGCAGAGTCAGGGGATAATTCTTAACAGGTTCATCACTATGACAGACTCTTTTGTCACATTGTTTTCACATTGTCATTTGATACATTGTTATTGTGAAAAGATTGATTACAACCTTTTCTGAAGAGTGGATGATCTGTAACAGCTGGATCTGGCTGTGAAATTGGACATTTACTGTCATTAAATGTTCCATAGTCAGCACTAGAAACTTCTATACTCAAAACTAGTTTGACTAGAATGAATATAAATATAAATAGATGGATACTTTATTGATCCGGAGGGAAGTTCGGACATCCGGTAGCAACAGCAATGGTTACCAAACTGTAAGACAGCCATAGAAATATGTCATCGTTGTTGCTTTAACCCCAGCTGCTTCTGTCAGTCAGTCAGACTGGGGGGGTCCAGTCGGGCACCATTTGAATTTCCAGGATCAAATGTGTATTCTTTAAATATTGTAGAGATTCTCATCATGGTCACTGAGCAGCGATCATCGGCAGTTCAGCTGCTCACCATCCAGGCCCATTTTAAAGCTATGCAGATGTGTAACCAGTCTTTATTGCCAGAGTAAATATCTCCCCTTGGATCGATCCCCACCGCCTGTCTGCTATTAAAATACAAATTGAATTTCATTTCTAAGCTCCTATTAATTCAGAGATGTCTGTTGATGGAGGGTGTCGTCCAGCTAGCTTCCTCCTCTTTCTTTCTCCTTCCTCTTTGCTCTCTGACCGACGCCATGATTGCAGAGCGCCACAGCTCTAATAACAATAATTACTCTGCGAAAAATTTTGGAAGGACTTTACAGAGATTTCATATTAAAATGACTATCTTCTCCACTCTGTTACAGTATTTAATCATGGCTAATGAGACGAAGCCAAATGTATTTTTTTATGCTAATGGCTTAGTTACTGGAAATGTCTCATTTCACATTTCCATGATCTTTTGTTGAGTTACTTTCTGGCAGGCAGCAAGGGCAAGCTAAAAAAAAAGGAAATGCATTAGAAAGACACTGAGACAAAATTAATTTAGAATTTGTTATATAATATATATTTGTAATATACATTTTGCCTCAAGCCTAAGGATAGTGATGTCCATTAATCAGTCTGTAGATCACTTTAACCTGCTACTACTGTTTGATTGACAGGAACTCCACAACAATACGGATGAATCCCACAAGCAAACTGTGTGGCAGCTCAGTGCGTTCACCAAGGCAAAAACAATTTAAAAGTGTGATTAAGATCTATGTTTGAAATAACAAAATTCTCATAATTACAAGGTGTTTCAATTTCTCTCTCAGGTCTGGAGAAAGTGGGCCGTGACTCCACCTACGAGCAGGAGGGGAAGGTGCAGTTTGTGATGGACGCCGTATATGCCATGGCCCATGCTCTCCACCACATGCATCGTGAGCTCTGCGCAGGAAACCCCGGCTTGTGCCTGCGTATGGCTAACATTGACGGCAAAGAGCTGCTGGCCCACATCCGCTCCGTCAACTTCAATGGTAAGAGCTGCTGCTCGGTCACAATCTGTGTCCTCGCCAGTCCTCCAACTTCTACAACCCATATGGTCATGTCTCCGTTCCCTCTCATACGACCCATAGGGATGCATCATTAAATAAGTCTCCTACAGTCACAGTAGATTTTACAACAAACCCACCGAATTTAAAGCCAACCTATGTTGCACTACCAAGCTTTACGGACCTTTGTTGTCATGGAAACAGCCATAAACATGATGGCTAGCTAGTAGCAAGCTGCTAGAATTCTGTCATCTTGGAAACTGTCATAAAAATGATGCTATGGTTATGAAACCGTCACGGTTTCAATTAAAAATTGCAGCCTTTATACTTCAATTCTTGAATGTCTTCAAGTTACTTGGGAAACTGTTCCTGTTTGTTATTATTATGCACGTTTTAAAACCATTATATCCTGGAAAAAAGCACATTGTGTTTGGGAAAGCAGAAGTCCTTTTTCTAGTGACGTGCCTCCACCTTGTTTTGCACAATATCACATTCAGACTACAAGCCACAGCATTGCTCTCACACACAGTTCCAGGTCACAGTCTGTTTATTACTCACATCAAAACCGTGGCATTGCATCGTTTTTCTGGGCTGAGCACAAGACTTCACATTCACAACACATGCACACCAGGAAATCCAAGAATTCAAACATAAATGAAAGTTATTCTCATCAAACTTCTGCATGTCTGAGGAGAAAACCATTAAAAAAGGATTTAACAGTTATGCCTAAATCTCAGGTTGTCAGTTGAAGCATCCAATGTTTTCTTTGTTGCATCATTGTTCACGGAGCAGCGAAGCAGCACAGCACGTTTTACAAACCTCGTCTCGTCTCAGAATGACTCCACTACAATGGAAATGGAGAAGTACGATAGAAAAGAAGAGCAGAGCAGTGATATGCATGGACCGTTTCTGTACTCGTGTGTTCTGCTCGCTGCTGCTCTGATGCGTTGCTCAGCTCTGGTGCTGAATGCAAATCACTGCTGAGCCAGACCACATTGTTTCGTCCAGTATGACAGTGCTGTCAAGATCCAGTCAGGAGAGACATCCACAGTCTGTTGCCAGTTACCACTGGAACCAGGAGACAAATTTATTTCCCTGACTGAGTGGAAATTTGATGTTTTCACATCACACAGTTAGATGCAAGCAATGGCACTAGTACGTGAAGCATTTGTTGCTGTTATAGTTGCCTGTGGATTAGTATTCATCTACAGCCACTCTGCAGGTGTGCTAGACTGTACTCTCTGCCCTCTAGAGACTCCATGAATGACAGGGTTCTCAGTTGTAGGTAAATGATTAAATTGAATTGGGAATGTTGACAAATGAAAATATCTATAGAGACGACAAAAAGCAGGGGCCACCAAACTGAATGTGGAGCTGCTCGGCATTTGTTCTGCAGAGCTTCAGCTGTGAATGTACTGCGCTGGTTGTACTTACTTCTCAGTCTTTTAAGATATCACCAGAACCAAATGGCCTGTCCAGTCTAAAGTCAGTGTTTAGTGTGACCTCCCTTTGCACTTAGCACAGCTTGAATTCCTCTGGGGAGACTGTTTGCATATCTCGGCCTTTCCCCTTCTGAAAAGGTGGTTTCTTGGCTGCCGTTCTTCCTCTACGGCCGTTCCTGATCAGGCTTTGGACTGATGCTGCTGGGTTTCCTCCGGTCTCTCAAAGAAGAAACATCTCATCAGAATTTGATGCTCCACTCCTGATTTTGTCCTCAATCTCTTTGGATTCTTCTTTACAATGGCTTGAACACGGCATCTGAAGTATCCAGTTTGCTTGGTGATCTTTGTTTTTTGATACTGTGTACATATTTCCTATATTTTAGGCAACAAATCTAATGGTGGCCTAAGTTTTTGCGCAGTACTGCACCTGTTCTTGAGTTTCTCACATTTCATACTGTACATATCTGGTTATGTGAGCTGAGATTAAAAATCCATGATTGCCAAAATTCTAATTGCCCAAAAACAATGAATTGATTGGCTGGAGTCATGAAGTTTCTCTGTCTGACTGATGTGAAGCGGGACTTAGACAACGATGGGAAAAGACGAGCAGGTATGAGGGCAATATAAAAGAAGTTGAGATGATTAAGGAAGTAAAGGAAGAAAATAAAAAACATTATTCATTATCCCAGCTTTCATCAGCATCTTCATTTCAGTCAGCACAACTGTTCTCAGCTGCCGTTTCCCCACCATCTCATCATCACACCGTGGGATAACTCATCACTCCCTCGCTAACTCTTCTTTTGTTCTTTGTCCTCTTCATCTTCATCTCCCTCCCTTCCTCATCATCGCCATCCCAACTAATCTCAACGCAGCCAACCTCCCAGTGAGCAAAGTCCTTTGTCAGCAGAAAGTGTGAATGCTGAGGCCGTCATCAGGGAATCCTCCCCTCATTATTAAACACTAAATATGGTCGTCAGGTTTTATTTCCTCCTGTTTCCAGATTTATTATTCTCGCTTCTCAGTGGGAGCTGCTGCAGCCTGATCTGTCTGCATTCACACAGCTTTCCAAAATCAAAAAGCTTCTCACACACACAGCTGTGGAATAATAAATCTCACACTGCTCGTATGTGCCGAGACATTAAGTTTACCTATTGATGGGTTTGAGAAAATGCCTAAAGAACTATGGACTAACTGGGAACGATTTTAAAGGATAATTCTGCCCTGTTGGAACATTTTGGTAGTTGTTGTCTATCAGCTTTATCAATAATAATTAGGGATGTAATGAAGCCAAAAACTCATAACACGATATTGCCACGATAAAAAGTCCACAATACGATATTTATCACGACATAAAAAAGTTAAGAAAAGAGATATCAGCGCTTTTATTGTAGTGTATATGAAAGCGAATGGAACAGTCAGAAGCACTTCTTTTGTGCGATGAAATAATGTATTAGTAGCTGGATCTTGTAAATAAAACATGCCACACCCACAGTGGAGCATCAGTATCTTAGTTCCCCCTCGGCAGATTTAAATTTCTCTGTTTGGTGGCCCTGCCAGCTGCTGGTCGAGGTCTCAGTAGGCTACTAGACCAGTTGGTGTGGGCTGTACTGGAGGTGTTAACATCGTGGTCTACTTTATCAAGGGAAAAGACTTTAATGGTGGTAACTATGTGGTCGGTTTTGCGTATGTGCATCTGGTTTGTTTGTCCAGCCCAGCTCCGTTGAAGTGTTGCGCACAGCTGTGTCCTGACTGGTTCCAGGACCATCTCAGTCCTAAATGGGGCTAGTACTGCCTTCATCCAGAAGTAATTGCAAATTATTTGTCAGTTTCCTTTCTGCCCATGTCATTTCTTGAAACAGGAAAACTGAAAAGCTGTCACACAACAGCGATAACACAAAATTACAAATATTGTTAAATCCCTAATAATAATATATAGAATTTATGTCTGAGTTGTGGAACAGTGACACCAGTGAAAAGACACCTGCCAGTAAAGATTCAGTTTAAGTAAATATTTGCCTACTAGGTCCAGGAGGTTTGACATGAGCGAAGTTACATCAGTCTTCCCTCTCTGGCAATCCGTTACACTGTGCATATGGTAAAATTGGTCCAGTATTTAGAAGTCTCACACCAGATCCTTACAAAAGAGCACATTACCTGTCCAGGAAGTTAGAAGACAAAATAATTTAGAAGGCGCACACAGGATGAATACATTATGTATTAATTTAACCTGCGATTTAATTTCTTCCCCTCCTGTTTATGCTGTGTCCTCCTGCGTGTGAGATTAACTTTCTTTGGTTAAATCAAGGCGATCTGAAGGTTTGACAAACAAGTTGTTTATTCTTCCTCTGTCGCTTCTGAGTGCTGCCATTGTTCGCCAAGGCTGACTTCTTTTTCACAACTCGGCAAGTAATTTAAAGAGGAAAATAAGAACACTTGTTCCAAGCACATTCTTTGTTTGCTCCTGGTGAAGCTGAATGTAACTTTTTCTTTTCTTTTGTGAGTGTATTTGTTCATCTACCCAGGGAATATTTAAATACACAACACAGTCACAATATAAAACTCCCCCTTAAATCTCCTCATAAAATTAAGCTTGGTGAACTAAAGACCACACAAAGAGAAGTATAAAAACATTTTTAAAAGTCCCCAAACACAAGAAACCATAACACTGCTGTCTCGGTGAAGGGTCTGCTGGGATTTTAACAGCAACAAACTTTTCTGTTGTTACTTACTTGCTTTTTGGTTATTTGTTTCACTTTGTCTGTCTAGAAAACAGTTTCCCAGCAGAGCTTCAGTCAAACTTTGTAACTTTAAACAAGAAAACAGCATAAAGTGGTGGAGTGCATGAGATGCTTTGCTTTTGTTCCCTTCCACACAAAGACAGATCGTCACCAACTAATTACTTTGTGGCCTTTAATTTCAGTGTAATGGATCTCAAAGAGTAAAGCAATAGCAACAACTGTAAAAACATTTAATAGACTATTCTAATTCTACTAAATTCTGCTTTTTCCAGCTTTAAGATGCTGTGAATTATTCACATTAATTATGATGAAATGTGGTTTACATATCTGTAGTGTCCAGAGAATTATTCCTAATAACTCTGGTGAGCCTCAAGTCAAGTTTGTCCAATACTTGGTTTATGATCAGATGTCTGCAAAGCTACAGGTTTTGTGCTAAATTAAAAAATGTAGTTATGCTAACATGCTACACTAATAAATATACCAGCTACATATCAGCAAGTTAGCATGTTGATATTAGCATTTCAAATAGGCAGAAGTGGAAAATAACTAAGTACATTTACAATTTTGAGGTATCTGTACTTGAGTAGTTTCATTTTCTGCTACTTCATACACATCAGAGATAAACCATGTACTTTTTACTGCACTACATGTACCTGATAACTTCAGTTCCTTTCCAGAATCAGATGAATCAAACCAAACCCAGTAGAACCATCAGACTCTATTGATCCTGGTGGGAAATCCACCAGCTACCCAGTAGGATGTAAAGTACTTCACAGTAAAGGTATATAAGGTAGTTACCATCAGC